TGATGTGAGAGCCTGGTCCGGTGAGAACCCGGCGTGCTCCGTCCCGGCCTTGTAGGGATGCGAGGGCAATGGTCTAACGACTGCCGCATGCACGATTATGAGTACACCCCCCCCCCGCCCCCCCCGGTGTTTGCCATTGTGGTTGGGTTTTCGTCGCTTGGCAACGACGTTGTAAAACAAGCCAATTCACTTCGTGAACTCGGCAACCAGGTTATCGTTTTTTTTTACCTCTGTTTTCATTTTTTGGCGGTAATCATAACGGTGGTCGAGTAGATCATGTTGTGCGGTGTGGACAATCCTCACTCCGCGCAAGGGGGGTGATCGCACCACGTTGTGTTAAAATGGTCACGCATCCTCGCGGCAGTTACACCGTGCTTATAACTGTATCTGGAAGTGAAAGCACCGGAAAATAAACTAATTCATACGCAGCTGTCATCCGTACGCAAGCCGTTTTTTTTACCTCTGTTTTCATTTTTTGGTCGTAACCATGACGGTGGTCGAGTAGATCATGTTGTGCGGTGTGGAGAACCCTCACTCCGCGCAAGAGGGATGATCGTACCACGTTGTGTTATAATGGTCAAGCACCCTCGAGGCAGTTACACAGTGTTTACAATTGTCTCCGGAACTGAAAGCACCAGAAAATAAATTAAGTCATATGCAGCTGTCATCCGTACGCAAGGAAGAAAGCACAAGATGCCGAACACCCTTAGAAGGATGCAGCGAACCCTTCATGCGGCTCGCCGAATACCTCACGGCGCTTCGCGCTTGGTGATGTTAGAGCGTGGTGCGGTGAGAACCTGGTGTGCTCCGTCCCGGCTTTGTAGGGATACGAGGTCAATGGTCTAACGACTACGGTATGAACGATTATGAGTACACCCTTCCTTGCCCCATCCGCCCCCTTTGCTGGTTCTAGTCTCGGTACTCTTGTCTTTCCCCCCCACGCTCTCTCTCCTTCCTCCCGCACAAGCTAAGATTGACATAGTTCGATGGTCACCCACTTCGCGTGATCGTTTACAAATAGCGAATACGCTTGCACATGCATATATAATTTTCACACAGAAACAGAGTGTGGGAAAGATGCGCCCTTTACACTATCGTACTACCTTGCCCTACGGCCGACCTCAGGTCTCAAGGCTTTCGAACTATCCAACTATAGCCTCACCCCGACGCACGGACCAACTACTGCAAGAGAGTTTCAGCAATAACCAACCGAAAACCTTTGCTGATCCCTTCTTGAAGAATCGGCGGTACTGCTTCCTTGTCTCGAGGTACAAAAAAAAGCGCGATCAGCCCGAACCACGCCGGGAAGACCTTTTCGTACACGAACCCGAAGCTACCCAGCTGAGGTTTATGGTTGGGATATTCAGGAGGAAAGGTGCAACAGGCTTGCAAGGACGAATCGTGCAGTATTTTGAATATTCCTAGTTGTGAAATAAGGAGTCAGTTTACGTTGCGCACCGAGCCGAACCTCCCCAAAGGTACTCACTGGATTGGACTAAGGGTTAGAACTAGTCCCACGGGGACCCGAAGCGGACCAGCTGCGCACCCCTGGATGTGCAGCATTCCATGTGGGCGGATTGATTGCGCTGGATATGGCAGTGTGGGTAGGCATGATCCTGAAATCAATATATTGTCATCCTTGCCACGCTGCTATAGTATAGGTCAGGAGTGATTGGGTGAATCCGGCAAGTCGAGAGTTCGCTTATGTCGCCTCGTCAGGAGGGAGGGAGGCGGGAAGGGGAGAACACAGGTACTGAGCATCGATGATCCTTCATGCCAAGAGGGTGAGAAATACAAGACGCAAGACTTGGTGATAGAGGGAAAAAAAAGCGTGTGCCACTGATGAGAGTCTATTTCATTCCCATAGTAGTAACAAGGGTAGATCGTGCTATGCGGTAATTGGCAGCCGAGACGGACGAGCGTGATGCGCACGTAGCTCATCCGGTGTTGCTCCCGTAGTTCCAGTATCAAAGGATATAGCAGCTCTATTCGACTATGACATGGCGTGCAGAGTGCAAGGAGGGACTGGGGGGGAACCCCGTGTTTTGATCCGTCCTAAGCATCACCTGTAGGTCGAGGCCGTCCCGAGCAGTAAAAAACAGGCTTGTCGTCGCTAGCCACGAGCTCGAGCCCCCGGTAGCCCTGAATGACACCGGTCAAGTAGGCGAAGCGCCCGGCGTAGATGTGGAAGAACTTGTTGAACTGTGGTTGTCGAATTGGTCATGGCAATCGGAGGGGTCGTCAGTCTCGAATGTATGAAGTGCCGCAGATTCCAAGGGTATTTCAGTGGGTATGGAAGGACTTGTCCAACTGTTGTTTCTACATGTCATGAGGACAACTCGTCATATCGGATCGGTTCCGGATGCAAGAGGAAACGCAGGGTATACTTGGCCGAAAAGGGGAGGAGAATTACACACTGACAACCTCGTGAAACTCCGTGTCTGTGTCAGTCATCTAATGGCGGCACAGGTATTGCTTTCCCCCGTGTTCGACCAACACGCGGTCAGCGGCAACAGCAACCAGTACGGGATTGCCTGTCGGCAGGCAAGCACGCGGAGATTTGCCGGTAGGCTTTGCGTCGCCCCACACTGCGGAAACACTAACTCTCACCCGTTGAAATACGGAAAAGTTGGCGTCTTGCCTCCCGGTCCTTTCACGCGTAGCCAGCCGGACATCACTTGGGCCATGACGGCGACGATCATGTAGTAACCCCAGGCGCGTGTACAGTGCCGCGCCGCGACCCCGACGCAAAAATCGCTCTGCAGAGCGAGGGGCATCGGTGCATCAGAACATAGAGGGAAGATGGAAACACCGTCGTACATGTCTTGCCGTTGAGTTGGTCACGGTCAAGGTTTCTCACTGTTACAGTATTGATGAAATTCGGAGATTCACTAGAAACCATCTCTCACGCAAGGAGGAAGGATTAGTTTTGCCGGAGGGGGGAGTAGGGGGCGGGGGGCGGAGGATTCCCGTTCGGGCAGGAACCGAAGATCACACCGAAGACGAAGAGGCGATGATCGCGCTAGACTGTTTGATCAACCTTGTGAAGCCCATGGTGGGATGCAAGCGTAGTGCGCCAGCGTCCAAGACGCCACGGCTCAGTTGACTTCGGCTCGCTTCGCAGAAGCGTTCGAGATTTGCCATTGGCCGAGCGTGGGTAGAAATTGATCAATACGCACATCTCAACGCGGTGATGCTGCCGGCACTCGCTTCTGCAAGATAGCAAGACCGTGTGTTCGTTCCTGTCGGAAGGTACAGGTGCGCATACTTGCAAAACGGCCTCCGAGGCAACGATCATGATCTCCTCGTGCATCTCCCACCACTCGTAGCGCCAGATGAAGTCGATTTTTTCACCGTTGCGGTACCTATGTAGAAAGGATAGGGGCGAGCATGGCAACGGTCGTTGCCGTCTTTCGCGTTGAACGCGTGCCATCTGATGTGGGTTGAGTGAGAAAAGGCAAAAAGTGACAATAAACACACGTACAAGGGGTGCAGTCAGCAGGAAGGACCGTCGAAGGATTGGACCCACGAGTCCCCCGCAACATCCTCTTGGAAGACCCCGCCCAGTCGAGTCTAAGGCATTGGCTGCCCAAGCGGACGCAAAGAGACGTGCTGCAGCGAAGCAAGGCATTCGGACTAGGGTAGAATCTACAAACAGGTGGAACATGCAATTGCACGACACCCATGCAACGACAGTGGAAATCAGACTAATTGGCGGGTCATTTTCGAAGCATGTTATATCCGAACCGTGGTCATCTTGCTTCTCGAATATAACACCGACGACAACAGCAACAGCAGCAGCAACATGGTTTGCGCGGTGTAGTATAAGCCCTGGCCTGACGTAGTAGATGCCCCACGGCGCTAGGATCATCCAGGAGGTGAGCATCAGGGCCCCGTGAAGCGAGACGAAGTTGTTCTCGTCACACTCGACTTCAACGTTACCGGTAGCAAAGTTGATCGTGTTGGCCCCTCGGCTGGAGGTTGGGTGCTGCCCAAGGCTCTCTCCGGAGGAGTAGATGGCTTCGGTTTTTTCCTCGTTCTCGATATCCTGCCACTCGAGGCGAGGCCAAGGGGTCACTCATCTTCAGGGTGCTTCACACTATGCGGCACGTCCACACACGTAATAAGCGACAGCAAGAACGACAACAACAGCGGAGACAGTACGAGGGCAGCACTGCTCCTTCATCTCCTACAAGCCTCTGTGTCCTCCTTAGGTTGTGCACCGACTTAAACCTGGGGTGGGGCGGTTGAACGCCGAAGTGGACAAGAAATTTCGCATCTCGAATGGTGGCGTTGTTCCCGCCGATGCGGCGGGCTGGCGACGTAGAAAACAGTGCGTCGACGGTTGAACCCGGCCTTCAACCCCCCCCACACACCCCATGGGAGGTTGCGATTGGTGCCCACCTTGTTTGTGATTGTTTCCGTTCCTCGGACAGAATTAGCGTCACTCTTCGCTTCTAGTGGCACGGGTCGGGACCTTCCTTCTTCGATTTGTTATTTCCACTGATTGACCTACCTGAGCGAGATCGTAGTCCTGGTCGTCTAGCGCGGCGGTAGGCTTCAAAAGCGTCACCGTCGTCCATTCACTCTCCACTTCCACACTTGGGACCTCGAGGACAGCGTCCTCGTCGTCGCAGGGAGGAAGAGAGCGCCGGCCCGTCAGTTGCCGGTCGATGCACTTCGCCTCGTCCGTCGAAATACGTTCGCAGATCACGAAATCTTTTATGTGTCACCTAGTTCGTGGTGGGCATGTAAATGAGGAAACGATGAGGGTGGTTATGACGGAGAAAGGGGAGAGAGAAAGAGGGAAATGCAGTGTGTATCGAGTGTGAGGGGGCAAGCACATTGTGCGTTTGCCCTGACACGTTTGATCGTGACGTGGGCGCCTTCATTGCCGGTCTCCTGGTGGGTCCCTCTTTTATTGCCATCAGACCTTCTCGCTGTCAACTTTAGTCTTCGTCCTGAACTCTACACAGTCTAACACTAATCCTTACCTTAACCCCAATCTCTTGCTGTGGACTTGCGTCAAGTTAGCGCGGTTCTCATCTTCGCTGATTTTCTCCGTTAGTCTCAAGCCTGTGTTCCCGTTTGCGCTGGTGGGTGCTAACGATGCCGACCTTGAGTCACCCCATTTACAGCCACCCCCCCTCCTGCGCTCCTACAAATCGAACAAAGATTGATCCACCGCCGTGTTCATCTTACAGGACAGCTGCTCGGTCTTCATGCGGGCTAATGACTTACCTGCGCGCCAGACATAGTCAGGCCCCCGAACCGAAGCCTAACATCCCACGGTCACCAATGCCCTTGGTACTGAGCGAGAACGATATGAGTCCCTCGTCTTCTTGAACCTGCGGGTGCCAAGTAGCGGGGAATGTGCAAATAACCAGCACGGTGATGAACAAAAATAGCGGTCGTGGACGGCAATATACCACGGAAATTGGTGTCCCAGTATCACCCGAGTTGTCTCAGTCCGAAGGAAGTAGGAACAATCTCGTTTCGTCCGGGGGGGTGGTAATCCGCCTCTCCACCATCATGACTTTCTTTTTTTTTTACTGCGGCGCACTGTATACCAAGAATACTAGGAATCAAAACCAAAGTGATGCGCGAACACGAGAAACGTTTTTGGCGCACGAGTCACACGCCGAGTGAAAGCCTAGGCATTCGCACGGACGACAGGCCATCAAACAACCGGGCGGAAACACAAACGCAACAGGTATGCAGATACCTGCTTCGCTCCCACCTTGACGAAAACAACATTACTCGAGTCGTGCAAAGCACACGGCAAGATGGCCGCAACACATGCGATACGCCGGGGATGTATTTACCTCCCACGCCATCTTGTAGCTGTCCGGCAGCTCGACGTCCACCTCGCCAACTACCTTGCAGTCCGCGCCGCACACCTCCACTCTTGCTGCGCCGAAGGCTGACGGCGGGAGGTCGGCGGCACCCGTCGTGCGGTTGAACAATTCCGAGATGGTGGCCAAAGAGGCGTCCTCGATGCTCCTCGAGTGGAGGTGGTGGAACCGGTCACCACGAAAAGTTCTGTGATCGACCAACAGCGACAGTAGTAGGGATGGTATGAATAGGAGGTGTCGCTGGGCAGCACGTCACGTGTGTGCACGCGAAGATTCTGGGTGAAGCATCGTTCTTGGCCTGGTGATTTGCAGCATTCTCGATGGTGTGATGGTGGCCGTTCTGGATCATGTAGGGACGTTCGGTTGGTCGGGATTCTGGCAAACACTCGTCCTGCATCTTGTCGAAAAAGAAGAACATCACGTCGGGATCGGTATCAACTGAGAGGCGTTCCAAACATTCCGATGGCGGAAGGTGCAGGGGACGAAACCAACCGCCATACGGACGTGTTTGACCGCTAACGCAGCGGAATTATCACTCAAAATAGTGCGGTGGCTTCAGAAATGGGGTCCTGAACTTAAGGAGACACAGTAAACGGAGGAGACGACGGGAAACACGAACGGACGGCGGGAGAAACATGGCCTGCGAACAGATCGAAAAGTGAGGGTTCTGACAAAGGTCTCAGCGTACCTGTACAGTTGCTCCAGCCACGCGGTGTGCACAAGTTCCCCGAACCCCCCCCCCGAGCTGGTGAGCATCGGCTCGGCCAAGGCCCCAGTAACTGCGTCCCGGGCGGAGATGTCGCCCCCGTACGCGGCCGAGAGGATGGTCGCCACGACTTCGTCAGAGTCGGAAGCGGATGAAGTCGACCTTGTTGAGGATGACGTGGATGATGTAGTAACGTCCGAAAGAGATGTCGCCACCTCAAGGCCGAACGCCTGCATGTTTGGGAGAACCGTGGAACTTGTCAAAGTACGCATGTAACGGGACGGGACCTCAGGGTGTTCAACGCCGGAAGAGCTCGTCTCTAGTTTGGAGCTACTGCCAAGTCAGGTTGTCATGCCTGTAATACGTAGTCGCTCACTTTTCGACACTGGTGGCCGGAGACGCCCTCCCGCTGCACCATGAACACGCCTGGCTTAGTGATGGAACGGGGGCCAAATACTCCAACTGGTGCTGGCCCCAGTGAGGTACACTGAAAATGCTTGTTTCGATGTACTGCAAGACGGGAACTGGCAACGTGCATTCGACAGTACAGAAGAACCAGCAACCTTTGGTCAATATCACAAGCTAATCCAAGAAGAACCACCCGTAATTTATGCCCGGCAGCAACATCAATGGGCTAGACCTCCCACATCACGATCCTTTCCGCAATTTAGCGCAGCTAGGTTTTAGGAATTGAAAGTGTTCGGGTTAAAAACCTTCCGTAGGCGTGAGTCCGATACTTATGTATCCTCTGTGATTCACATCATCCGATCAGTGCTCATAAAACAGAGGAGTTTCTTCACGAAAGCTCTGCATACCACATGCGAAATCGTCAAATACGTCCAGCCTACGAAGTTACCTCTACAGAAGTAGGATAATCGTTGGGGTCAACTTAAGCTGTGAGGACGGAGGATCGAGATGATTACTTCTTGCTGAGATGCTGCGGATCCCCCGTTTTCGCGCTCATGTAGGAATCCACATGCTGGATAGCGGTAGCTTATAACTACAGCATGCAGTTGATCTGAAATCGTTCGAAGCCCAACGGTGCAGATCTGCCTGGTGGATCAAGCAAGAAGTTACTCCGCCTGCGGAGCAATTAGCATTGCCGTTCCCCGCAGAATAAAGTTGGCCAGATTGGTGAATTCTCCTCCCGTTTGCGTAGCCTACAGCTCAGAGGGGTGGTAGACGCCCTCAGTAACTCACATCCCTCGCGCACGATTTTATCGTGCCGATGTGCAGGTGCTCTCTTCACCTGTCGCGCCTCGTTGTAGCTTGGGAGTCCGTGGTCTCTCCCCCGCTGCACGGCGTCCACAGGGAGCTTGAAAAGCGGGAACCCGTTCGAGACCGCCGTGGTAAAGTGTGAGTCGGCCGCCATCACCGGCGACAGCACGGCGCCTCGTGACACGCCTGCAACCTGGAACACCGGAACAGCGAGTTGGTAGAAGCGTTCGATCGATGCAGCTCGGGTACCAAATACGGCAAGCGTCAACAACACAAACTGGTGAGGTTCGAAAATCAGGCTGTCTTGTCCGCTGTGAAAATTTTTCGTGACCCGTGACTGCTTTCCTGTCAAAGTCCTTGAAAGTGCCTAGCGAGCATCTCACCTACCCAGTTACCCCCCGCATAGGTGACGAGCTGTTGTCGTGTAGTCCTTGTGAATATTGGTTCAGAAATACTACCTTCAACGCCCTACGATAATGACCCGGCGGACTGCCTGCCTCAACACGAAAGTCATCGCCATCCTTGTGCTTGGAGCGCGAGATGCTGCCATCAGAGACGCACCTCGACGCTGTCGAAGAAGGACACGAGGCCGTCTGCGCCGACGGCGGCTGCGAGCTCGGTGTTGTCATACCGAGTGGACTCGTAGCCCTCTGCGACCACGCGCACGGTCGGCGGGAGAGCAGACTTGAAGGCTACCGCCCCCGCCGTTAGCGTGAAGGTGTCAACGCCTGGGTTTGTTCCCTCGTCGTTGTCCGAGAGAATCCACAGGCCCCTCCTGCGCCGTTCAGGGGGGTATTCTTTGCCAACGTTCGCTTCCGAATGATGGGATAGCAACGAACCCGTTCGGTGTTGTTGTCGTTTTGGGGAACGAATTGAGAGTGCGAAGGGCGGGTGTTGGTTTTAGTTACGCAGCATTCGATATGTATGTTTTCAAGACCTTCGTTAGTGGTGTGCTTTTGGGTGCAGGCCGACTTAATAGTGGCTGCTTCCTTTTGGTGTTATTTGTGTTGGTGTTGCTTTTGGGCAAGTGACTTCTACTCTCCCGCCCTCCGGAAAGTAGGTCCCACGTCGCTCCCAACCAAGCAGTGATCCAAGACGCATGTCTGGCGTCGGCAACCTCGGCCCTGCACCTAAAGTTTACCTTGTGGTTGTTCTCGCTCTCTGACGGGTGTTTCGAAAGCAAGTCGCACGGCAGTGATTCATGCATGTGGTGCATATTGATCCCGTTTACTCATTTTTATCTGCACCAGGAACTATCGGATACGATCACATTGCCTGAGCGCGTGATGGGGAAGGTGACGTACGTGCAAGGCAACTGAATTATGAACCCTTACCTAGCAGCAACAGCGATGCAACCACGAAGGAGTAACGTGATCAACCTGTCTATTCCCCACGGTACCCCCCTCGCCAGTATCCCACCTAATACATCTTGTTCTTTCTCCTCCGGTAATTTCCTCCTTGTTGTTCTGCCACTGGAGCCAGTATCACTACCTTCGTCGCTCGATAGTCCTGACGCTGCTGATGATGATGCCTGCGGCCTTGACGTTTTGATGAAGTCCGAGAGACTGCCCCCCAGGAGATGGATCAGGAAGTCGTTCTCCGTGATGTGCTGGAAAACCGCGATAGTCCAGCCCCGGCACGTCTGGTAGATGTGCTGTATTTTCGTGGGTGAAGGAATGTCAACAACAATAGCGACGACCGCTCAACCGGCTAATCAAGCGCAGACGTCAGCCTTCGCTTGACCAAACCCATACACCGTGTGGTATTGTCCACGCCAAAAACATCTTACCAACAGCAGCTGGTGTGTTGAGACAAAAAACAAAGGCACCGCACCAATTCACATCGTCTATGCTGCACGCACACCTCGGTTTGTTGAGTTTATGACAGGGTGTGCTCCGCTCGGGGGTAGTACTCTTCACCGTATGATACTGGGTACACCAAGTGACACAGTGTTTCCCGTTTCTCACGCTGGGCTTGTCGTGAAATCTCACTGCGCGTGTAACATCTACCTACCAATATGTCGAAGCTGTCGAAAAGATAGGTCGGAGCCCAACACGTTTAGCGTTGGCCCCGGAAAGAGTCGTCTCGAGCCCATCAACTACGAGTGCCAGCCTCCAGAGGTTTCGCTCCTGCAAAATGTACTTCGTAAGAATCGTGTTGTTGCCTGGGTATGTCTGCTAGTACTTGGGCTCGTCTCTGTCGTTCGGTGTATGGTCCACCGTGAGGAAAGACACATCAACATCATGGTTTCGTTTCAATCCTTTCGACCGTGCAAACTTCGCCGCCGGACCTCATCAGTCGCCGCACCCTCGCCTGGCGCGATCTCGACGCAGCAGCGGTTGTGTTCCCGGAGCAGCACGACGTGCAGGGCGAAGGTCACCGGGAAGCGGGCCGTCGCTCGTCGGCGATCTGGTGTTTGCCACGGTGAGATGAGTTTTCCGTGCTTTGAGCACGAGGACCACAACAGCATCGGCGTTACCAGCAGAACGCGCGGGGGAATAGCCGAGGCAAGGGATGAGGAAGGGAGACCGGATGTGGGAGAAGGGAGGAAGAGGAAGAGGTCAGAAGGAGAGAGAGAGGTTGAGAGAGGGACAAAGATGAGTGGCCGTGGGTTGAACGAAGGGTGCTCAAAACGTTGATGCTTAATGTCCTACAGTGGCGCTTCGTTACAAGAAGAGGATATCGCAGACGTCAAGGGAACGGCGTGACAAAATGTGTTCATGCACAAGCGATAGTTTCTCCATCTCACCCTCCGGATAGGCTCCTTAGCCACAACACTTGTTTACTTCGGCCATCACTGTAAAGGTCTTGGGTTCATAACTATACCCGCGACTCATATGCATGTACAAACGAGACCTCCACCACTTATGTCATCTTGCGCCTACCACGCATGAGATACGCATCTAGTTCCCCCCGCATTTTGACAACTATGCAAACAATTCAGGTATCAGCCCAGGACCTGAGCGTGTATTCACCACATCGAGGTGGACACTTTTGCGTGTGACACACGGCAGAACACCAGAGCGCACACAGAGATTTATTTTGGTTGCAGATATCATCGACGACGGTATATTGACGCTGGCCCGCATTCTCAGTTCAGGCATACGTCCGTTGGCACTCAGCAAGAGCACTCGGTTCACCTTCAGACACCATTTAAGAAAATCATATCCCATCTCAACCCGGCCAAATACAACCTCGGGAGCATAGCAACCACGAAATTGTACGCAATACGGGTAGAATTGTGGACCACAAAAATGGTGAATGCCGATCTGAGTCCCACGCGAGATTCACCGAGGTTGTACTTGCTTCAGTCCCTACCAAGAGAAGCGGCACTTTCGAAGGAGGGTGAGTGCCCGCGAACGAAACATACCAGCCAAGTCCCGTCGTCGTTGAGGTTTGGCAAGCCCTTCTCTGTGACGGTCATGAAACCGTTCCCGTCCGAAGACCTCAGGGTCGCTGCGTCGTCCTCGCTCCGGCCGTAAACGAACTTCAGGTCGATGAATGCCACCGCGTAGTTCATGGGGCTCCTGGTCTCCACACTGTTGGCGTCATCATCGTCTGGCAGACCCGCGTTCGCCCTGGAGAAGGAGATGGGATCCGAGCTGACCCCTAGGGGGCACCAGATGTCTATTCTCTCCGCCCCGTCGCCTGAACATGAGGTGCATACGGGGAAAACAACTATGAAAGTGTATGCTTCTTCGAAGTATTGTATACTTATGTACCAGTACGATGAGAGTACACATGTGAAGGATGGAGGAGGTGCGCATGCACAGGTTGTCGTTGTCGCGGGCAAGTACGCTTTGGTGCACGGGTCGCTGAATGGGATTGCACCAGCCGTGTAGCACATCGTGGATGGTATCGCCGTTGCCGTCGTTTTCGACCAAGGCTTGCGACAAAGTTTAGGTACTCGCTTCAGATGCAGCCGTCAACAACTCCCCTGTCGGGTAACTGTTATGGGCTTGTCCAGCGCTCACGAGGCAGGAGCAGGACATACCCACTGCCGTGACTGGAAGAGGCCACGGCGGAAACAAATGGAAAGCAAGCAGCGATAAGCTCCCGTTCTCGCGCAGGAGAGCATGTGCGAGGTACGGAGGCTGGCCTCACAAGGTTTAAGGTGGTGGGACGCAGGTCGAAACTTCGCACGACTTGCCGAAGCATGTCGCGATTCTGCGTGCCAGGTGCTACGCGACAGTGGTCAACGGGAGCCCGTCGTGTTGCTCCGCCTCGCAATATAGCGATCAAGATCAACGGGTGAAACACGACGGGATAAATTGTAACCGAATTATGTCTAAGCCAACGTAGAAAACAAAGCAAAGGGTATTTTTTTTGGCTTTTTGTTGCTGATTATTGTTTTAACTTGATCATGAGTTGCACACCCGGCCCGCCGCCTAGACAATGGCAGGAAATACTCTTCCTGCCCCTCTGACCGTCGTTGCAGGCGATGTCGAAGGGTTCGGAGGAGTTGTCGACGGTCACAGACAGGTCGTAAGTCAGCAGCCACCCCCACGCGACGAAGAGGGAACTCTCTGTGGATGCAACTGGTGGCGAGGCTAGAAACACGTCGGTCATCACCTCCCTAGAGAATGCGAAAGTTCAGCGAAAACGAGAAATAACATCGTGGGTGCGGGCGACGATCAGCAAGACCCTAAACGGCCCCAGCCAAAGGTTTTGGATTGTTGCCACAGAGTCAGACAACCCATTCGGGAAACAAGATGGGTAAATACTTTGATCGTTCAGCGCTATCCTGGCATGTCTGGCAATTCTCTGTTCATGAACAACGTGCGTGACTGCTGTATGGAGGAAGGGCTTGTGGATGTCCCCGCTCGTAGCCCAAGCTGCAGCTCGTGGAATCGGGGCTCCACGAGCAAATCAACTGGCGATCAGTCTTGTCAGCTCCTCCGGAGGAGTGAACAGCTCGTCGGCGTAGTCGGCTTGGGCCACCGAGCGCAACTGCCGGCGCCAACAACAGCAGCTTATCATTTTACGGCGGGAAGGGTGGGATATTTGTAAGAACCTTTCTCGTCTCATGCCAAAGCAAACCTCCGGGGCGGGAGGGAGGGGTGGCTTCACTGACAGCCGGAAATGATGCCGCGGCATGATCCCAAAAGTAGAGGGAAAATAATGGACTGAATAATGCTGCCGACGGAATGTAACATCAGGAGTTGAGAAGGACAATCAACTCCGACGATGTTACGAACATGAAGAGACACGAGTTCACAGATAGCTCATGGAGAATGCCAAACTTTCCACACTCTGTAACGTAGCCACAACGTAAGGCTGACAATTGTCAGTGCGTACTTTCACCACGGGTCGTCGCCTACGATCCGGGATCGCAGGGAATATTCCCTCTGGCATGCATACCTTAGCATCGCGGCGAGAAGTCGCCAGCAATCTCCTTCCACCTCGTCGGTTAAATACAGGGCGCCGAACGACACCCAAGACACAAGAACTCCAGGCAAAATGGTAGCGCGTGTTCGAGAAGGCCCGTCGAGAATCTACACCTTGACGATACGCGCTGCTGGTAACCCGCAGCAAAGGTTCGAGCGAACACACAAGATTAGCAACAGCACACACACACTTTCACCTTAGGCCTCTCGGGAGGGAGGGAGCCCTCTCGGGAGGAAGGGAGCGTACCAGACCACCCGACTACCCAAACAACAACGCCAAACACCTTGTTGTCAACCCGGCGGGCCCACCCTGAATCCAATATGTAGTGTGGTCCATTGTGGAACATGTTTGTTTGCGTCTGCAACATCTCAACTGCCGACCGCGCGTGACATGGCGTGCAAACCTATACACCTCTTACGACTCGTCCCTACTTGCTCAGTAGTACAAAGTGTTCGTGGGTCTGCGAACATTGTTGTCGGATATACATGTGCTGGATGATTTTGTGTCACGCAGACTAGTAAGATAAACGTTTGATAGGGGGCACCGCGATGATTCACGGGGCCCCTCCTTGCTGTGGGAGCCGCTCTTTGAGCACTCCCTCTTTCGTCTGTGTGAAGGACGGTCGTCGACCTCTCGTGAAGTTAATACATCACCAAAACAGTCTCACCCGATAAATAAGTGGCGTAGGCCGCAAACACTCTAGAGTTTTGCCCCTCGAGGGAAGCCACATCGGGATGAGCTCTGCTGGAGACGAAGAGCGCGCTGCTGCGAGCGGAGAACAGATCCGCCCGCCAGTGCAGGAGGGCCGCGACGCGGAGCTTGCAAGTTTGCAACGGCAGATTTCGCAATTGGCGGCCCTGGTGGAGGAGTCGGTGAAGAAGAAGGAGCCTGGCAGCGTCGTGGCGGATGCAGCCAGTAGGGGTGGCTGGGTTGCTGCCCCCAGAGGCCAACGAGAAGAGCCCACGCTGCCGCTCGGCGGTGGCGGGGGAACACTCCAGCAACAAACGAGAGATAGTGGGCAAGGACCACGGCCGCTGCTGGAAGGCGGCTGGGCCAGCAGATCGGGAGCGAACCCTGTTGGACCAGCCGGAGTGGGCCCGGGCATAGGACCGGACTACGGGGAAGCGAGGGGGTTAAACCCCCCAGGTGAGATACCCGTGATTC